ACGCACACCACCACAGAGCAGTGCACAGATGCTTCTCCAGCACTTGATCATTAAGGAATACACCAACTGTTGGAGTTAATGCGGTGCCAGATCCCATTCTGCTCCACTCTGCCTCCCTTGAGAGTGGCCGCTCCCTCACACACACACACACACACACACACAGTACAGGAATGTGCCGAAGCTGTCCTCCACACACTTTTACCTGAGAGAGGTGAGGAATGTCCAGCATTCGTGGATAACGGACACAGAAAACAACCTGTCCACTACAGTTTGATATTATATGGCTCTTCCTGCGTTTTCATGCGAGGATACTTTAGGCAAACAAGCGGTTAACGAGACAGATGTCTGGGTTTTTTCAAAGTACCCTTATAAAGCTAGAACATTTGAAAGGAATTTAGATTAATAATAAGGGGATATTTTTTGCACTATTTCCCAAGTTGCATTCCATCTTCTCCAGAGAGAGCACTAATGCCAATGGAAACACTGCTTAACATCTGGATAATACTTAAACGTCATACTAACATATTACCAATGTAAAGAAACAAAAGTGGACCATTCATTTTGAAAAATCAAACAACGCTTCAGCCACATCCATTCATCTCTCAGCGCTGCTGCTACTTAAAATGAGAAACACAGTGCAACCATTGAACAAGGTACATTTCCTTCCCACATTTGCATTTGGATTTCAAAATACAAAGAGTTCAGAGACAGTCTGACATTTATAGACTCTGAAAACTGAGGAGGAAGTGTGGAAAAGACTTGTACTTGTCTGGAAAGGCCTGTCAGAGGCCTAGAATGAGCAGATAAAGCAAGCACTGACTTTATTGTCATTATCCCACGAGGGCCCCAAAATCCTCATGCCCTCTTCTCCTCCGCTCGGATAAAGCGTGGCGTGGCTCGAGGGAAACCAATGCATCCCAGATGAGATTGGAATGAAAACAATAGCCCTTATCTGTATCCTTTTCGCATTTTCCCAAGGTTCCTCCATCTCAACAGAGAGCTTAGCCCCTGCCACATCGGACCCCTTGCCCGTCCCACTGATGTGGAATAGCACGGGCACTGAGGAGAGGGCTTGGACGACGACCCACTGATCCTAAAACCTCCTGGGAACTAATTCTAAAAGACAAGAAGAAAAGACAATGAAGAGAGAGAAACAGAAAGACTTGTGTCTCAAAGTGGGTGTTGACTTAGTGTCACCCATCCGCACACTCGGGAGACCATCCCTGTCAAAACACCAGGATTAGAAGGAAGCACATTCGGGCAGAAAAAAATAGCATGTCACATGTTTTCTGGCCTGATAAAGCCAAAGCTCCTATAGTTTAAAGTTGGAGAGACTTACTGAACTCAGTGCAGGAACGGGCATACACTGTAAAAAGTAATCATTGAATCTACTTAAGAAAAGCGAGTAAACATAACTGATTTTTACAAATTTGTTGAATTTACTTAATTACACTGTGTTATGTGAACTTTCAGGTGGATGCAATAGTTAAACTAAACAACTTTAGTAAACAGTACTTAAGAGCATCTAGTTTGTTGGATTAAAGGTATGTTTCCATTGTCTGGTGCAAAGAACAATGAATACAGTTTTATTCTGTCTTTGTATTAACAACTTCAAGTTTTGAGTACAGCTTACTTGAAAAATGTAAGGCAATCTGTTTCCACACATTTGTCTAGTAATGTGAACAAAGCAGACTTGTTAAGAGAACTGTTTTGTTTGAGTTCTGTGCACTAAGCTTAACTTAAATCTCTAAGTTGGCTGAACTTGTCAAATTGAGTTAGCAACACTCAAGTTTTCTGGTAACCTATACATATACACAAGTTACCTATACAAAGTTACAGTGAGTTTTATTAACTCAAAAATTATAAACTAATTTGCTTGAGAAATTTGAGGCAATCAGTTTCCACAGGTTTTCCAAGTAAGTTCAACTCATTACTTTTTACAGTGTATGAAGTGATATAACTACCTTCCAGTGTCTCCTTGACATACTAATGGTTGATCTACACCTGGCCCCTGCGTATTTAAGCACTCATCTACAATCTGATCTTGACAAATCGGTTTGCTGCCATAGATATCTTGTTCTTCTTCACAAAGCAGCTCAATTAAGACACCTACAGCAAAGAGCCACTGACAAGATTATGCCAATGGTCTTAAACAGATGAAAAGGAAGAGCAGCAGTGCTCATAAATCTCAGCAAAGATTCAGGAATTGTGTTGAGTGTAAATAGTTTTTATCACCAGATGGAACACAGAGCCAAAAACTGTATGTCTAACAGAAACCATAACAGTGGAACAGTAAAACACAGGTAGCATTTGGCTCTTACCTGCATTACTATATATATATATATATATATATATTTAATTATACAATATTATATTACTTCTTTCCAAAACATTTTTAAAATCTTATCGACCCAAACATTTGAATGGTAGGGTAGTATATATTATATAATATTGTATTATTTAAATGAAATGATTTTAAAATAAAATACAATACATTAATACATGCTTGGTGCTCACACCAACATTTTACTTTGTAATTTGTCATACAATTATACAAAGTAATAAACGCTGGAATAATGTACATAGAAGGAAAAAAAAATCATGTTGACTTTAAAGTATAGAAAGATCACCTTCATTTCTCTAGTCCAGCTGCCTCAAACATTCAAGCTAAATGAATGTAATGTAGTTATGTAGAAACCTACTTCAGTCACTGTCATTAATGACCTCCATGGCTGTGTATGTGAGATGGAGCTGTGTCATGCCCCTAAAGATGCAGTTGTGCTGAGCAGAGGGTGTACCCCCATCCCGACGAGTCCTGCCCTGTGGCAGAGAGCCAGAACATCTGCCAGCACCCCCAGGTCTCACACTGCCACTGTAATCCCCAGCACAGGAAGCTGCTCTTCCCCCAATCAATCCTAACATTTGAGAAATGAGAGAGAGAGAGAGAGAGAGCGAGAGAGAGAGAGAGAGAGACTCTCTCCTGAAACACTCCTCTTCACAGTACACACATCATTACAGCTGTCCTCAGTCAACTGCACTATTGTCCCTGTGCTGTCTATTGTCAATTGTCCACCGAATACTGCATCCTTAATCTGACTTTCAATGAAGTGTAGCTACAGTACATTATGCTTCTTCCTCTCAATAAACCTAAAAAAACATCACTACTGTGCTCAGAATCTTTTCTGAGAGAAAGGAGACAAACCTCCTCCCTTCAGTCCAGCACATGAACGGCCCACTCCTCGGGGAAAACTGGGAATTACCAAATCGATGATCAACTGACAATGACGATATAAATTTCCCAGGCTTTCTTCTGAACGCACCCTCTAATGATGGAGAAAGGCGAGGAACCGTTCCCAGTCCGAACAGAAAGAGAGAGAAGGAAAGAGGAAGAAGGCCCAAGCGAGGAAGAGGTATTATGGCTCCACTTGAAGCCACCCAGGTTGAAGGGCGCTCTCACTGCAAGTGTCCCAGTTTGGTTAATAATTATCCCCTAAGCACTCTCATTTCTAAAAATGCTATGAGAGAAAAGGCTTGAACGAAAAAGAGAAGTAGTCAAGCAGTCAAGGTCAAGAGAATATTGAGAGTTTTGAGCAATTTAGAGGGGAAAACAAGTTATTCCAGGCATTCTCCTTGGCTCCCGCTGGAAAAACACTGTCCCCCCTCTAAAATCACATTTCAAGGCTTCTCTTGCTCTGGATTTGTTTCTTACAATAGAGATGCTGCAGTCAATAGAAAACCAAAAACGCACTCTTTCTCTTCCTATTTCCTTCCATTTGCTTAGAAAAACAAACTGGAGTCACAAGCTATGCACACACGCGCACACACACACACACACACACACACACACGTGAACGCAAGCGTGCACAGAACACTGAGGGAAAATCTTCTGAATGTCTTAATCACTGAGCCACTAAAACAAGACTGCATCATCACACAAAATAAGAGTATAATAATTACAAGAGGCAGACAGGAAAGTGAAACGGCATAAGAAAACATGTTTTGTCGTTCCCGTCGTTAGTTCCAGAGACAACAGCTGTTAGCTGGGGCGGCGGCAGCGAATGCTTCTGAAGTCTCCATAATCACGCCGTTATTGAAGTGTGGACAAAAAGCGCACTAATTGCAAGGGAGCAATCTAAACGTAATAGGTTACACACCAGGCGACGGTGCACAATGCTAACAGCTAAAAAGAAGAGTCGGGTTGAAAAAAAAACAAAAATCATGACAGAGAGAAAACGCACGCACACGCGCACAACACTGTATAACAGTAGCGTTTCCCTCATTTTCTGCCAATTACCTTCTTTCCCTGTCAACAGTTTTAATAACCTTGATCATTTCCACAAGCCCCTATTTTCTTTTTTGCATGTTTTTTTTGCTTCGGTTAAATAATTTCTGTTCTTTAATATGCAAATGCACCCATTGGCATGCATGTGTGAAGAGGCTTCAGCTTCTTGAGATGTGTCAGTATATTGTCGAGCACCTGCACCTCGGGGAAGGCTTGATTTAATTGACACCTAATACTATTCATTATTCCACTTAGTGAGCATCTCTGCTAGTCACCTGTAGGCTGCTCAAACACCACTCTGCCATTTCCTCCTGTCGACAGCTGCTGTAAATAGACTGACTAACCTTAGAAAATCTTTTATTTCCTTTTAGTATTATTAGTTATTTACTACTTCTACTAATACTAATAATATCAAAAACAACAACAGCAACAATAACACCAATACTACCAATAATGATAATGCTAAATATTAATGATGAATATAGCAATTTTAAAATGTTATAATTGCATACTATTATAACATATATTATAACATAAATATTATTAAAATATTAAAAATAGTGCACGGCTGTAGTGTCATTGTCTTTATTTGGCAGACCTGAGGTGCTAATCTCAGCGCTGACCCCGTCGTCCTGGCAATCGCGCGATTCCTGACCTGTCTAAACAGGACACGTGTCTATCAAGCACATATGAATTAACCACTCCCTAGAGGCTTCACCTCTTGAGCAGGGCAGCACACGACCTCTTCTTCAATCCATTTTACTGCAGGACTCGGCAGTAATCAGGGTTGAATTATTAAAGTGAGCAGCCACCGATGATCAATTCACGCTGGCCAGGCCTTCCACGACAGGGTACTTCTTCAGCACTAATGACACAAGAGAAATTCCATCGGACAATGAAAGACATACAGGGAAATAAATCATGCTGATTAGTAATGTGAATGGGAGAGATAAAGTTGAAATATGTGAAATAGTAGAAATAAAGAGTTCAAGTTCAATCAAAGCTGTGGATAAAAAACTATTTTCATGGCATGTTTGCGTTGGGAAGACACTCTGCCAGGAACCTTCACCCTCAGAAGGAGAGGGATTCTGGGCACCAAATACAAGAAGAAAACTGAATAATAAATGTTGGTGAAGACAGCAAGACACTAGCAGAGGGTCAGCATCTTCTGAAGGCAAGCCGCCCAAACGAAGACTTGGGCAGGCGATTAAAACACACCCCTGGAGCCTCAGGAGGAGGAGAACGAGACAAAATTAAAGCAAAGTTGAAAGAGAGATTTCTAGAGAGAGTACAACTCAAGGATCCTACTGATTGAGAAGAGGAGGGAGATATTAGGAGGGAGGAAAGGGCGGGGGGGCCCAAGATGGGGTGTGTGGGGGGGGGGAATCCAATCAGAACTTAGTGTGGAGAGATCAGGAGCCAAGATAAACCCATACTCCGAGCCCCCAAAACTGCAATCTCCTCTTAAGCTGGAGAGTGGCAGCTGGCAGAACAGCTGGTGAACAGGATTAATGTCAGAAGAATGAAATAAAACTCAACATATGTCCGAGCCTGAGGTGTTTGGACTGCGCGTGATTGTGCCCCGATGGATGCCATGTGTGCAGCTGGAAGGAGCTGCGCTGGAGTTCGGCTGCGGTGCCTTCCCCACAAGGTCACTTTTAAGAAAACTAGGACCATTTAATGCTTGGATAGCAAAATGAACTTTCTCGCCTCCTCTTTAGTCTCCTCTCAGGCTGAGTGAGCCCTCAGAGGCGGCCCACCCCGACTGCTCCGCTCCAGCCTGCTGTTGCTGCTCATTACGGCTTACTCACAAAAAGAAACATCTTCAGCAAACACGGATGGGAAAAACTTAATTCAGCCAAAAAACTTCGCAAATTTCCTATCTGAAGCAAAATACATCCCTCCAAAAAGCAAAGATCATCGTCCTTATGAAAAACAACCCACACAAATGTAGACAAAAATGTTGTCTATTTCTATTTAGTCATTTGAGAGGGTCTGCTAAAAATAATAATAATAACATTGTTGGTAAATACTCAAAAAATACTGCAATTTTTTTATGGACTGAGAAATGAAAAACATTTTCTCAGGACTGTCTCCCATTTAAGATATACACTTTAGACAAAGAAAAAAAAAACTCTAATAACTCAGTACGTCGCCATTTTGTGTCCTGTCTTGTCCCTTGTCTATTGTGTAAATCTTTTTTTGCTTGTTTATTTTATTTATATTTGTATAAGTATATTTATTTTCTAATCTGCAACCAAAATAAATTCCTCATCCATTCCTGCAACAATATGATGTTGGGATTTTTTGTACCAAACTCTAATTAATGTTTCTTTTTTTTTCTTTTTTAGAAAAAATAAATAAATAATAAAAATACACAAATGCTGCATCTTATAAAATCATCTTGAAATACTGCTGACAGGATTGAGCACATGTGAAGGTACAAAATAAAAACAGATATGCGGATTTAATCTTAATTTATAAATTTAATTTCATATCGGTAATCATTAGAGCCCACACACTGTAATAAATTATAATAATTTCACACAAGAATTAAATTACTGGGTATCCTGCAGAGGAGCCATTTTTATGCTGGCTACCCTGCAATCTAACTGTCAGATATAAACCCTTCTGCTAATCAATGCTTCAAAACATTCACTTTTATTCGTCTACGTTGAATTAATAAAAATGTGTGAATAATGTCGCTTACTGTGATCATTTCGGCTCAGAGTGATTTAGTAAATTAATGGGTGCTAGGGACAAAAAGAAACTGATAAGATCCACATGAATAGATTAAAATTTGCTGTGAAGCCAACTGTCTTGAGTCGTCACTGAAACTTTATTTCATCTTAAACGCCGGAGCAACTTGGACTTGCTTGATGGATTCTCCCCACAATATATGGCGAATTAAAACGTAGCGTCAAGAAGATGATGTGCTGCTAAAATTAAAATAGAAGACACTTCAAGCATAAAAGCATTACAGCTCGGTTTATACGCATGCTTTGGGTAAAGTACTTGACAGAGTGTTTCATTTCTTGAAGTCTTAATGTTTAATGTTTAAGAAAAATATTAAAATGGCGTTAAAATTGATACTCTTTAGTAAACTAGGTATGTGCTAAAACAAACTAGTGTTTTACAGCCACAAGTGAACTGTTTTACAGTAATAAACAGTGCTGTATGAGTGCATGAGGGCATTAAAAAGTTAAAGTTAAAAGGAGGTATCTTCGTTCTTTGTAAAACTCACTTGACTAATTAAGGAAGCATATTTTCCACACTGCCACTGACATTCTTCACTTTTATGAAGCAACAATTAAAAATGTTTATGGTCCCATGCAGCGCACTCTGTTTACCAGCATGTCAGAGTTCAGCGTTTGCGCACACGGGCCCGAAAGTTCACTATTTTTAGCCGCCGACCTCCATTCTTTCACACACACGCTATCGTGTAACTGCACACTCACTACTTCACAGACCACCAGAGACTGGGGGGTTCAGCCCACACTGCTGCACACAGGAATATAATCCGCTTGTGGAGTACCATTGAACAATACAGACACAATCTATCTACTTCTGCCCATTATCAGTAGCAGGACGCTGTGAGAAGTATGTGAATTATAAAGTGGCTGAAATGTAGTGTCTTTGTCTGTTGATATCCGAGCAAGTATAATGAGAGGTTGTAACGACATGGCGCAGTTACCAGTAACCATGGTACTTCAAAAGGTTAAGAATTTAAATTCTTCACAAGTCTGCAGCTAACACACTCAATTTACCATTGTTTCCTGCATGGTTCTGCAACAATGGCCACTGTATTTTCTTTCGAATCGACCTGTTTATTTTCTCTCTGCTGTGGGGTTATATCCACCACAACATGCTGTGAGAGCATGGAAAACGCTGCCGTTTCACATGAAGCTAAGCTCATTTCTTCATCACCTCTCAAATATGGGAAAAAAAAGTGTGTATGAGATGTAGAGACAAAAAATATATATATGGGGGGATACGCCATGCAACGCCAGACCCAGACCAGGCATCCTCAGGCAGGGCACTCTGGGATATTAAAGGAGTGAGAAAAGTGTGCCTCACCACCCAAATCACAAATTGCAGTAGATGGAATTAAAAAAAAAAAAACCCACAAACCCATTAATTAGAATTAAAACTCATAACTTCAAGCTATCATTGGAACTTCATGATATGTAATGGATGACAGGGTCCTTAAACATATTAACCACTCGACCTACACAGACTTAAAATTATATGGGGGCCACTCCCAATGAGAGATAGCGTTCAGCGGATAATTACAATGATCCGAGCCGCAGCGTTCACCGAGCAATAAAACATGTTTCTATCTGTATTTTTCTGACATCCCATCTCATCCCATGGCACCTTATTGAACAAAGAGAGAGCAAGTGAGAGAAAGAAGAAAGGAGACAGATGAGTCGTAAACGTCGTGTCCAAAACATACCGGGTGGATGTGTATTGTTCATCTTTTAATTCACTCAAAAAAAAAATAATGTTTGCTATGCTCCTATGTTTAGGTTCAGTAATTTTACTTTAATGGCAATACATAGGTCCTTTTCTATGCCATTAAGGTGAAACAAATGAACTAAATATAGGAGCTTGATAAAAATGCTAATTTTAGATGAAAATTTCAGATGGCACTTAAGAGACTTTTGCATCTGAACTCTTCATATATATTTAAATATGTATGTACTGTATATATATATATATATATATATATATATATATATATATATTTGTCTAATGAAACAATGTTTATATTAAAGGAAATGAAAACAAATCTAGTGAAAGTAGGCTATGCTATCCATTATATGCAAAAAAGAAGCAAAATCACATTACCTCGCATGCGCACAGTGGCACTCTTTCACTGAAGTCTGTGAAGTTTAGCGGAGAATCGCATGCAGAGAGCTCCTGACAGCAAAATGGAAATATTTCCATGACTTTCTAACATTTACAGATGGAGAATATACCTGTGCAATGTAAGTTATGCACTGAGGAAAAAAAGTAGTGTTGGGTTCGAGTCCACCTAAGTCGAGTCCGAGTCTTTAACCAGTCGAGTCCGAGACAAGTCCGAGTCCAAAATGGGCAGAGTCCCAAACAGCCGAGTCCGAGTCCAACGAAACTCTATTATTTATTAGTATCTTAACATTGTTTTAACCTTTACAACTAGAAAAACGCAATATCCATTTAAATGTAACAAAAGCAAACCTCTATTGCATCTCGCCATTTTGATTTTTGATTTATAATTAGTGTCCTGCTTTGCTTAGCAAACTTAAAGTCATGTAACAGAAGTTATGGCTGAATTGATTTATGTATTGTGACATATTTCAGAGTGAAACAGGTTTTAAGAATGTGAAAAATTAAAGGGCGGGACTTGACTTTATTCACTGTTAAAGTAAATGTTTAAATTCTAGAGTGGGAGTAAAGGAGTAGGTGAATGGGACCTTAAGAGCAGAAAATGCACCTTTTATCTCAATAAAAAACAAGCTTTATATCATTTTTACGATTTTTAATGAAATGTGAATTTTGAGTAATCAAAATCAGTTTGTGTCTGCTTATTCTATTCATCAGTGTTTGAACCATTAAAGAAGAAACTACATTTTAATTTCTGGGTTAAAAAACAAAAAAAACGAATGAACGCTAAAGTACACGGACCCCTGCAGGGCATTTTGAATTTTTTCTTGGATGAAAATGAGGCTGTAAGGGATAAACCTAATCTGTACAAAGGCACACACTGTGTATAAAAGCCCTACATGTACTTTCCATAAGTCACAGCCAACTCACACCTGTTTTATTATTGAATGCATTTATAGTTACATTAATTACAATAAATTACATTATGTAAGGAATAATTGATGACGGGCCGCTGAATTATTAGAAAATAATGCACACCCAAGGTGATTTTGGACCCATAAAAACTACTGCCGCAAAGATGTTAGAAAAAAAATATTTTTTTTAAGCTAGAAACTGCCACTAATACAAAAGCAAAAAATAATAAACTAATGTAATAAAACATTCTCAAGCTTACTGAAGGCACTCCAAGTATTACTTACAAGCTAAATGATAAATAAATATATTACTCAAAAATACAAATTAAATAGTTTTTTTTTTGTTTGTTTTTCAGATAGTAGCCTTCTTGAAATAGCCTACTACAGACATTTCATGAAGTAATAAATGTAAAAATGATCTTCACTGTATACATTAAATATAGATGATTAATAAGTGATTCAGTCAAGATCAGTGAGTGATTTTCTCCTTTTCTTTTGTTTGTTAAACATTTATGATGCAGTCGGCGGCTGCAGGTTTATGCTGTTGCTTTAAGATCTGACGCATAGATCAAATATTTTGACACATCTGTATTTCTCCCAACTATTCAAGTTCACTTAAGACAAAACCGACTGCATTCACATGAATAGTCTCCAAGTCGGGCATTTTGACAACTTTTCGTGTAAGTGTGTAGCAATAACAGAACTTAAGAGAACATAAGCGAAAGAAAACTCAGCATTCGCACTCTGACTGAGAGGCGCGTTCTGTGAGCGGTGTGTGAGCACAGAAACCCGTCGGCTTTCAAGTACTGGACAACACTTAAAAACACATGCAAATAATGAATATCACTTTCGAGTCAGTGAAATTTCCGTCAACTGTCCCTGGACTCGGTTGGACTCTGACATATTTTCCAAGTCCGAAAGGCTCGAGTCCGAGTAAAAATGCATCCGAGTCCGTGACAAGTCCGAGTCCTTTAAAAAAACTGTACTCGAAACTGGACTCGAGTCCGGGTACGAGTCCGAGTACCCCAACTCTAGAAAACAGCACATCTTAAACACATTAAACAGTGCAAGGGACGGGAGTGGCCTAATGGTAACCCAAAGGTTGTGGGTTCGAGTCTCGTGCCAGCAGGGATTGTAGGTGGGGGGAGTGAATGTACAGCGCTCTCTCCCACCTTCAATACCACGACTGAGGTGCCCTTGAGCAAGGCACCGAACCCCCAACTGGTCCCCGGGCGCTGCAGCAAAAAAAAAATGGCTGCCCCACTGTTCCGGGTGTGTGTTCACGGTGTGTGTGTTCACTGCTGTGTGTGTGCACTTTGGATGGGATAAATGCAGAGCACTAATTCCGAGTATGGGTTACCATACTTGGCCACATGTCACGTCACTTTCACTTTCAAGTAGCGTCTCTGTCAGCAGCACATGAGTCTGTCAGAGCATCTGACAGGGGAAACCTTTAAACTATACACGTTAACTATATCATACGAGTTATTTTAAAGCCCTTAATATAAAGTATCATGTTTAGGACAAATTGGATTATGCACTTTCCCGCAGCAGTTCACTCTGCGTCCTCTGCTATTATTCAGATGCGCTCGTATCAAACGACTGTTCATACCATATCGCTTATAAAAAATATATATATATCGATATATCGCACAAACTCAATATACTGCCCAGCCCTGCACTGGACCACACTGATGTCTATTATATGGAAAGTAAAAGCAGATAAAAGGAAGTCATACTGGTCTGGAATGACGTAAGGGTGAAAAAAATGATCAAATTTTAATTTTTTGGGTAAACCATCCCTTCAATCTGTTGGAAGAGAAAAGCGATGTAGGTGTATGTACAGGAGGGCTTGTGTTGGCTGTTGTGTCTGTGAATTTCAGGAAGGGTGGCGGTATTAGCAACTAGATGGAGCTGACGTAGCTGGGTCTTATAAAACAAGTCTTGCTATGTGGCCTGAAATCATTAGCTGGGCACACCGGCCCGTCTGTGCCTACAGTGTGAGTTACATTGACACTATTTTGATCCCAGTCAGATGACACCAGCTCTTTTGTCCAGTTATGTGCAGTCAATGCCTGGGAACTGAACACAAGGTGGGTGGTGGTGATCTCACACTCATATAGTACAAATGCACACACGCTTTACAGGTTAAGTCCAGCTCATCTCATTCTGACCACTTTTAATCTACATAAATGGTCCTGCTTTTTCCACCGGCAGCATTCAGCTGTGCAGTGACAGATTTAAGGCTAATTAATGGGGTGGTCCTCTTTTCTCAGGCATCAGCATTTTGCTTTTCTCATTGTGCTAATCCAAATACCTAGAGGGAAACATAAAGATGCTTGCTCATTAAAAACAATCCATTCCAGTACTGATTTACCCATGTACAGTACCACTATTCCAACACCGCTGTTAAACAAGAGTAGGACTCAACGCTGTCCTTGTCAACACTGTTGCTTGGGACAACACTTTCATCTTACACTATTACTGTCAGACTCTGTTTCTGTCTTGTGTTTTGTTCCCCATGTCCTAGTTTCTCCCTCCATGCCCATATTTGGTCATTCCTGTTTCCTGTTCCTATTATGTTTATTGATCCCAGGTGTTTCTCGTCATCCCCTTGTCATGTCTTGTGTATTTAAAGTGTTTCCGTCTTTTAGTTCCTCGTGCTGTCTTAAATGTCGATCCCGTTCCTACGTGTGTGTTCCTTCTTCCTTGATGTCAATAAAGACTGTATGATTAAGTTTCTCCTAAGTCTCCATCGCTCCTTTGCTCCTCGCTCCAACACAGTAGGCAACACCGTGACAATTACAGTAGCCCCCTTGTTAGAAGATTGTTTTTAAATGATACAACAACATACATATTCTGTTCAAAATGAAGACAAAATTTATTTGGAGATTTACTTGTCCAAATGTTAGTGGAACAGGTCAAAAGTTTTGACCAAATAAATAAATAAATAAAAACACAGTTTTCGGTTCGGTTCGGTTTTGATGGCTTGGCACTTCAGACTGTTTTTCCTATTTAAAATGCGATTTTTCAAACAAATTAAGAACAACAACAACAAAATCCTGTACAATTCTTTACACTGGAGCAAAGCCACCTCGGGTATTTTCATAATTATTAAGTTTACTTGAAATCCATTGTTAATCAACATAGCCTTTTATTACAGTATATAATATATTTTCTGCCTCATTCTGTGATAAGAAGCAACATCACATCACAAAAGGAAGTTATTTCAAACATTCGACTGATGCTGTGGAGTAAAAAAAAGTTATAATGTTCTCTTTTGTTGGACAACAGGTAGAAATGCTTCTCATTGCAAGTTTACATTACAAGGGAAGATGTTCAGCATGTGTTCTCACTGTTCTGAGTTGCTTTCTCAAATGCATGTTATAAGCGGGGAGGCGTTTCGTCATCTCAGCGCGTAGACTCATGGACACAAAAACAGAGCTAATCCAGAGGGAAATAAAACGCACGGAAATTATTTAAACGCAAACCAAAAGAACCATAATTCATAATTGAACTGTGGATGTCGTACCGAACGTAAAATCCCTTTAAAGGGGTCATATGATGCGATTTAAATTTTTCCTTTCTCTTTGGAGTGTTACAAGCTCTTGGTGCATAAAGAAGATCTGTAAAGTTCCGCCCGCCACCGCTCACTCAAGCCGGCCTCCACTCACTCTAGGCCGCCGGCCTCTGCTCACTCCAGGCCTCCAGCTTCCGCTCACTCTAGCCCGCCGTGTGTGACGCTGTGTTTCGTTGTGAAAGCGAAACTACTTTGTTTGGCCTTCCAAA